CTTCTAAAAGAAGCTATCGAAGGAAAGATAGATGGGCGGATAGAAGTGACAAGAAGACGAGGAAGAAGACGTAAGAAGATGCTGGATGACCTTGGGGACAGAAGAGGATACTGTCATTTGAAGGAGAAAGCTCTAGATCGCATTAAGTGGAGGAATTGTTTTGGAAGAGACTGTGGACCTGTCGTCTTGACAGATTACTGATGATGATGATGATGATGTATTTCGGCTCGTTCTTCAGCACAACTTTTTATTAATCTGCAGTCAACAATTATGTAAGAAGTTAGTGATAGGGTTCATTCGTGGATTGGTGTATATTAAAGTTCCGAAGTATTACACTTCAGTCTCACATATGTTATAATTTATCTGTAATTTACTCATATTTCTTAAAATTACCAAGAAATCTTTCCCAACACAATAATCCGGAGGTAAAAAAAAATGTGGCGTCACTTCCTAAGTCGACTGGTCGGAAATCGCCCAGAATTTTACACGGTCACATTCACCAGAGAGTAACAAAGCCTGAGATTCCTCATATAAAATAATAGATAAAAAAGGCTTCCATAGTAACTTTACATGCAAGTACTCGTATACAGCGGGGCACGCGGTAGCGTAGTTGGTTGGCTATACTACAAGCCGGAAGGTCGCGGGTTCAAGTTTTCAGTTGACATAATCCTTCCAGCCGCACTAGGCCCTGGTGTTTACTCAGCCTCTAACAGAAATGATGGAAATGAGTGCCAGGAATTAATTAAATAATTTTCCTGGGGAGTAAAGTGCGGCCGGCGCGTAAGGCTGACAACTTTACCGCCACACTTGAGCCATGACCGATTAAACCGTGGGGAAAAATACCCCATTACTTATTGAATAGGAGGCTGAGTGGATCCAGAATCAGTCTAGACGCAGTGGAAAAAAGAAACGTATCTGACACTGTCGAGAATCGAACCGTGATTCCGCTGTAACTGGGCACCAAACTAACTAAGCTATTTGCAGTAAATTTCCATCTATTGTTTAATCAAATTCCCCTCATATTTGTCAGCATAAGCTTTATTTAGCTTGCGTGCATATTTTGAGTTGTGCCATAAACACAAAGAAAAACGTAATGCGACATTTTATCTCAGCAAATATCTTAAGCGACAATGTATTCAAACGTTTTCTTGTAAATAACATTTAAATTAACTAAATGCGCATTTCTGACATGTAACACTGTTTACAATAATTCGAAAAATATGTATATTTTCGCCATAGACTGCTTATCACGGAGGATGTGTGTCATGCATTCTGGAACCTAAAAATTTTGCATCGTAATCAGTGAGCCGAGTGCAGCCTCATTCTCGTGTACCAACTGAATATTCAAGTAAAGTTATTACTAGTAGGATATAATATTGCAGCCTTATCATTGTTACATTTATTGTAGGTCAGAATGAAAAGTTCCGTCATTCCAAAATACGTTTCAAACTTTCAACTAAAATTTAATTAAACGACGAAATTACATACAATAGGACACACTGAATAAATTGATTCTCGTCAGTTTTACGTGAGAGTGAAAATAATGCACACCGTGAAAAGTACTGGTTTTCGGGACAAATGGATTTTATTTGCAAAGATAATCTCTACACAAGAAAGAAAATTCAACTGAGAACATTCGAAACAAGTTTAGAAAAAAAAATTAATTCTCTGGTTCAGTCTTCCTGTAAGCATAACATGCTCTTCATTCTTGAACTAGGTATATGGTGTATTATTCAAAAAGCAATCTTTCTTATTAAAATAGTTATGCGACCCTTGAGACATAGTCGAAACATCATCAGCTGAATTACCTATCCTTACCCATTCACACCTCAACTAATGCAGCCCAAGCAGGAGGTGTAGACATTGGTGTATTAACAAAATATGATCAGATTGAACCCATCTATCTACCACTGAGCGTTGTAACATATATTTATTTACACCCTGTATAGTTCCTTCACGGTACATGATCTTTGCTGTAGTTTTATGGTAGTAGTGAACATTGTGCGATAACAGAACAATTTGTAAAGCATTAAGGAATTAGTGATTCGGAAGAATTTCTAGATAATATTCCGGTACATGCAACAAGAGGCTACGATAAGAAACGTATCATTAATAGACTCCGTGTACAATTTGTTTTCCCGTGTTTGGAACGACATTCTGCACATGCTCGATGTATCTCTAATACTGTATCCAAAATAATACAATTTAAAACTTAATTTAGAAGTACTCTTAATAAATTCTACGTCAGTTAAACAAGTCTTCCTTAAGTGTCTGTGTGTACTGTGAACGTAAACGAATGTCTTGCTTTAACTGAAATACTAAAAATGTAGTAGGACAGGTTAGGTTTCTCATTTAGAACCTACACTACAAAACAACAAACTTACTTCATGTTGGACTGTAATAAATTAAAAAACACATTTCACTCAAACACACCGATTTAAACTGTCATGATAAGAGATTTGAAGAACCGAACTGAACCGACTGACCCGCAACTAAACTGAGGGGCTGAGGGGTACCGATCGGTACCAATCGTACCAATGTTTTCATGTTTCTGCTACACTGCACCCTACTGGGAATTTTCTGAACTATTAGACCTGTTATTGTAACATACTTCAATTACAAACTATGTCGTCCCATTTTTACTTTGAATGTTATGTGACTTTATTATAATTCCTAGTCCATTTCATTTCAATATGTGTTATGCTCATGGAATATCTGTTTTCATATATTTTACTCCCCGCACGGGATTCTAAATGGGTACCTCCACGATAAGACGGGTAGGCCTGCTGCTACCCATGACGGACCTGTTTTATTGTTAATTTCCATATTTGACATAATTTAATGTATGTAAGCGATAGCTTTATGTGACATTGGTTATCCTCAGTTAAAATCAAGTTTTACATCTGAATATTTTGAATATCTTATTAGGTCCGTTACATTTTGGGTCAATGGAGTGTGGTCGTACGCTCCGAAGTTTTGCACTGTGTATTACATTATAGTTTCCGTAGTGCGTGTAACGTTCTCAGAATGTACTCCGTCTACTATAGGAACAAGTGAGCAAGTGAGCATCATCGTCATTTGATGACATCAACCTTTACGTCATCACTAGAGAGTTGCGAGATTATATTTTCAACATTCTTCCGGTATTCATAAGCTGGTGGGAAATTCAAACACAGCTGCAAACGACTTTTTTTCCCGTAGGGTTACCTACACAAGGCAAGATGTACTAGTAGTTGGTAGAGTAGACGGATTCCATTTTTTTTTAATATATTTCAGCTACAACAGTACCAAGGGTATAACCGGATGCTTTGCCTGAGATTCCGATATGATTCCACATAAATTGCTTTTCTGTAAAATGGTTCTTACATCTTTGGGCACTTTGCTCTTCCTTCCTTGGATTATAAAATTTCTGCGGTTTATTTTTATCCGAAATTATCGTATACAAAGCCGAATTAACCGGGTTGCAGTGACGAAGTTGCTTCAGGGCTACGGAATCCGTCCATTATAACACAGGCACGCCTGTATCTAGAGTCCGTCATTTATTTCAGCCCCCCCCCCCCTCCTTTCAATCTCCATACATACTCAAATGCTGTAAGATCCTATGCGTATAGCAACAACTAAAATAGGAACTCCTAAAATACTAGTATATGCGTGAGGGGCCCAAAATGCCTGAATCTGGCATTCATTGTACATAGTCATGCCTAATAGACGAGAATATGATTTGAAATTACATGCTATGTTTGACTTTCATTGGGTTATAGTACACACGAACTGCAAACAAAGCACGGATTAACGGAGGAAGTTGGTCCAAGCTTATGATTTGTATTCAGAAGGTGATCGGTTCGAATCTCTGTCAGGACTCAGTCACTCCAAGCAATTTTCAGGACAGTACTTCAAATTAAGCCCCAGCCATTTCCTTCCGAATTATTTCTGATTAATCTGGACCACTGTTGACAGCGTTAAATAAACCGTAAGGAAGTAAACAAATAGTATGGATTAATGTACATGGGTTAAATCACTATCGAATGATTCATGCTATCAATACTTGATGGCAGATTGTAACTGTTCACTGAATCATTCGATTTGATGGTACACTATTGCGTTTAATGGAAATAAACTAATAGGCTTTCATGTGTTAAGTAAACTAAGATTACCATTACAGTTTTCAAACATAAAGACATACGTAAATCTATGTGAATATATCTGGAAGCGCTGTAGATTTGTGTCGGGGGGCTGCTCGGTTCGAATCTTGACTGGGACACTGGTTACCCTTACTGGGGCTCTTCGTGGTTTCCCTCAGTCCCTTCAGTCGAATTCCGGGATAATACCTCACTTAGCCCACGACCGTTTCCTCCAAAATTATTTCTGCTTCATCATTCATCGGCTTGGTATATATGACGAATGCCACCCAGGTTATTCTAGGCAGGACAAAATAGATTTGGCTTGTGAAAGAATTTCTTATGAGACGAAAGAGTCTGGAACCTGGTTAAGTTTCTAGAAACACTATAAGCACCTCAGTTTAAATGATCACAGAAGAATGGATGCACCCATGTTCTCTTTTCCTAATATTGTATTTAAGCATCCTGTTGCATTAATATATCATTTATTTCACATATATTTCCGACAACTTATATAGTCACCATTCTACCACATTACATGGTTCAGCTATATACGGCCATCATCGGGTGTCTTCTATCTTGCTAAAATTGTTGCACTGTATTTCAAAATTTCGTATCGCGTGTGAACACAATATTTTCCTTATGGTCGTCGTCCTCTCTTCTCACGCCGTCTCAACTACCACCATATCATGACAGGATCAGTATTATTATCTTCAATTGCAGGAGTGTGCACGAAATTAAAAAATACAGTCATGCATTACGTCGGACGAACATACCCACACACGCCGATTTAATATGATGTGAGCAACTAGTCAAACACAAGTTTCCTCAGCGTGCGCCTGCCAAGCTGGAAACCAGTTGCGACTTTTCTCGGAAATTGCGGTTGCGTTGCGGTTGTCAGTTTCCTTGTTATTGCCCTTGCCCTTTGCCACGAATAGTGACCCATGGCGAATATCACCAGACATGTACTTCAGTGGGCACCGTGAACGTTTGTTTACACATTATAACCTTAAAAGTGCAGGTGGTGAACTATATGGATTTCTGTACACTGTAATACTGGAGAACTGACAGTTTATCTAGTGTTGACATGAATTCATCCCTAATATATGAAATACTGCTGTACTTAAATTCATTTTATTTTGGTATGTTTGCATTGTGTGAATTTGGAATGGGGATTTTCAAAGCCGTGAACCTACCTTATCCCACTGGAACTGTGATATCTGAATTTTTGTTGCTGCTGTTTTTGTGTTGCACTGAGTTTGTACGAATTTTCTTGGGGCGTAAAGGTAATTTGACAGAACGCGGCTTGGCTGTACTTGTGTCGATAGGACTGACTGTACCATCGATTTTTGGGGTACTCTATTTCCTCATATGGCAGACTTATGTGTTACGACTAGAAGTTGTTCTTTGTGCCATTCAGTTAATACTACAAGGACTTGAAGTGGGTTTTGCATTGCTGTGTCTCTTATCTTTTTATAAATCGGGTGCATACTGAAGTTTTAAGTCCATATATATGTGTTAATGAACTGAGATACATGTTTTCAGCTACTGATGTAAATATGTATATCAGTGATATAGAGTAGTTTGCACACATTACAATACTTCGTTAAGACCTTGTGATTTGTATGTGGTTCTACCGCATGTATAGTAAATCAAATTACTGGATGAGGTCTAGTAACTAACTGAAGTTTGAATTAGTGGCAGGTTGTGAAATTGGAATGCTGTTGTGTGTGTGTACCTCTTCCAAGATCATTGGAACTATTCTGCATTTCTGCTAAGCGTGTGCAGCCCAGGATTTAAGTCAGGCGCTTCATCCCAGCCATATATTCCCTACAGACCATATTACAAAGCTGGGGACTTTTGCTTCAATCTCACTCTTTTTGGGTTCTGAAGTTGTTTGTGCTGTTACATTTAATATTTTTGCAGTTTTATTCTGCCAAAAGTACAGTCTATTACTGTCTGAATAACTGCAAAACATATTTGAAGAGATGCTTAAATATTGCATTTGTGTGACAGTTTCATTGTAAATCTAACACAAGAAACCTGTGTATTGCTGGAGAAAATAAATGAGTTTGAATGTATTCATGAAGTGGTATATATATATATTACTTTAGAGCTGTAATGTTTTTTAATGTTGTGAACGCATCATCAAACATGTGTCTGAAAGATTCCAGAAGGGACATACACCAACAAGCTTGTTAACAAGTGGAATGTTGTTCAAATGCGTTAAGGAAATAAAACCTGCAGTTCCACCTTCATCAGTGTCTGTGGCAGTCAACATTTTATATTCATTACTTGACTCTTTTTGCTTTTAAGCAATTAAATTAACAGACTGGTAATATTCAGCCATTTAAGCTATTGGCTTTGACCATAAGAAGCTGTTTAAGGATGATCTGTTATTGTATTTATTGTAAGTTCAAGAGATCCAAAGGTGGATATATGCCCCGTAACATCTCCATTCTGTGACTTTTTGTCAAGATACATGTCCACATTGTGGTTGGTTGTTATAGGTAAGTTTCCCCTGTATGGTTGCCCTCTCATTCGCATATTGGTACCTTTGTTCCCCAAAAGAAAAAGCACTTACCTAGTTGGAGTTATGCATGATTTTCTTTTAAATAGCAATGTCCTTATTGGGTGTTCCTTATAACCTTCACATCCCAACAGATTTATAAGACTCTTCATCCCATGTCATTTTCTTTTGGATGGCTTGAAGCTTCACTGGCCTCATCTTTTATGAAGATTCCTAGTTGTTAGAAAGAAACCCCATTGTTAGTGTTTCATAATCACCTTTTTCTGATTTAATATTGGCTGTACTTGTTGTAGGCATCTTGACCACAGCCACTTATTCTGAATGAATTGAAATATAATAAATGGGCAGAGCCTACAAAATAGTGTGTTCTCATCCCTAGTTCCAGTTTTCGGAGATTATTCCTCCACTGATCCACTCGTATACATTAAATCAGTTTCCTTGACCAGGCAAACTGTCCAACAGTGGAAACCTGTTTTCAGAAAAAGCCAAAACTAAAAACAACAAGAGCATTGGCGTGTGTGTTACTTGTCATCCTGTCCATAACTACTAAGAACTGTGACTTCAACAACATAACAGAATAGAAGGCCTTAGGCTTTTATATGCATATATGCATACAACGGTGTTGTGTGTTAAATTATTATATTAGTTCTATTATTAGAAGCATTGTATTATTTTAGTATATTATTATTATTTATTATTGTAAAGTATTTGACTTGTCCTATATTATGTATAATGATCCATGGATATGAAGTAAATAAATAAATTGCTTTTTTTAGCCACTATATGTACCAGAACATTTTTTCCAAAAGCTGTAAGTTGCATACTTGTTTTTGCAGTATGGTTCTGGTATTTAGAAGTGACAGTCCAGAAAAAGCTGCGCAGTGGATGGGCAGGTCCATTCGTGAAAGTTGAGGGGTGTTGTGATTAGTCATTCGTTTTCAGTGCGAGCAGACGTCTCAAGTTCAGTTAAAAGCATTCTTCCTTGTACAGTCAAGTTAAAAAGTTTTGAATCTTGGAGTCATATTTGAGTGTATTATTCTCTATTTACTGTATTAATATTTTATTTTATTTTTATTTGTTGATTTTCTGTTTATTTATATGTGTACATTTTTTCTATCTCCTTTAACATGCCACCTACACGAAGTAAATTGAGTGGAAAAGTGTTGCATTCACAGTCACGAGAAATTGTTAGTAATGTATGTAAGTATATGAAAGAGGCTGGGCCAACAATTACACTGAAGAACATAGGAGTGGAAGTAGCAAAGGCAACAGGTGTTTTGGAAAGCAGTGTCAGAAGAATAATAAGAGAAACAAAAAATGTCGAATCTGGGGCTTCCACTTCCTTTTCGACATCCCATAAAGAAAGACCTAGAAAATATCCACTAGCCACTTTGGATGACTTTAACAAGTCTGTGGTGCGAAGAACAATTAATGACTTCTCCATAGTCAAAAAATGGAGACCTACCCTTAAAAAAGTTCACGAAAAGTTGAAGAAAACGTTAGATATTCAGGAATGCATCTCCACATTAAAGAAAATTATTTTGAAACTGGGGTTCTGCTGGAAGAAAACAAAAAATAATCAGCAGATACTGGTGGAACGATATAATATCAGAGCCAAACATCTTCAGTATTTGCAGCAAATTAAAGAATATAGGAAAAGGGCCGCCAAATCATCTACATGGATGAAACCTATATTCATTCATCGCACACCACCATCCAGGGATTATTTTCCCCTGTGTGCAAAGGCCAACGGCAGGTAGAGAGCAAGGTTTCATCCTTAATATCTAGGTCCGCTTCAAATCCCACCAAAAAAACAGTGACATGAACTACACCAATTATGAAAAATGCTTAAGGAGCGACTTATTCCTAACCTTCCTCCAAATTCTGTCCTCATTGATAATGCTCCCTACCATAATGTACAACTAAACAGAGCCCCTAACTCAAATTCAAGAAGAGATTTTATGATATCGTGGCTAAAATATCACCTTCCACCTATTACCTTCAATAACAGCGATTTTTCATCATTGCGGAATCCAGACATATAATATGATCCTACCACTCAAACCTAAATACCTTTCCTATAAAATAGATGGAATCTTTACAGAACACAAACACAATATTTTACAACTCCCTCCGTATCATCCAGAACTCAACCCAATTGAGTTAATATGGGCCACCATAAAAAACTGGGTTGCTCAGAACAGTACCACATTTAAGACGGATGACATCATTAAACTGGCAGACCAAAAATTGGTTTCCATAACTGCAGAAGAATGGCAATGTAGATGCCAACATGCAAGGAACATTGAGCAACAATTAATGGCACGGGAAGGCCTTTTGGACGCAGGACAGGAGTTTGTCTTCCATGTTGGCGGTGATGATGATAGCTCCGATTCATCTGGTGGTGACGAGGAAGGACAGGCATGTGGAGATGATATCTATGCGGACATTGCCGGTGTTGCCCCTTTAGAATAGACCTGTGTAATATGTAAATAAACTCTTCATATATATA